AGAAGAAGAAGAAGGAGAATCAGTCTGACTCCTTTATATTTTAACAGGTTCCTCTGACTCTAATCTGACTGATTAAAGACAGCTGACCTCCTCCTCCTCTTCTTCTTCTACTTCTTTTCTTCTTCTTCCCCACCTGTGGGGCATGAAGACATTACAGGTGGGGCATGAAGGAGGGTGAAATGTTGTGACAGAGGAATCTTTTTCACGGCGGGACAGTAAAGAAATCTTTCACAGTAGCGATGATGTTCGTTCAGAGACGTCTGTGAAATGGACAGATATTTAACAGAGACGAAAAGACAAACTGCCGACGCTCCAAGACAATCGAGACGCAGTGTTCAGCTCACGGTGATCAACAACCAAGATACAAAGAAAGTACGATCCAGCCTGTCTGGCTCTTGGCAGCTGAGGAGAGACCAGTGTGTATCTCAGTCTGACACCATCAGTCAGTGAGCCACTGGAGCTTTGTGAGAGAAAACTTGCTGAATATCGTCAGGAACGACGTTTTACAAAAGCTGCTTCAGTGAACAACAAGCGTCATGGCGTCACGGCCCAGTACACGAAAGAAAAGAAACCACACGATACCAGAAGATCTCATTCTCCCCACAGCGTAAGTTCAACTGTGAGAACCGCCTCAAGACTGCAGGTGTTCCCCGTCCAATGACACGTATAAGGACCAGTCCAGACCAGTTCAGACCAGTCCAGACCTGTTCAGACCAGTCCGGACCAGTTCAGACCAGTTCAGACCTGTCCAATCCAGTTCAGACAAGTTCAGACCAGTCTAATCCAGTCCAGACCAGTTCAGATCAGTCCAGACCTGTTCAGACCAGTCCAGACCAGTTCAGACCCAATTCAGACCACTCCCATCCAGTTCAGACCATTTATCTACTATTTTGCTCAGACACTGCACTGTTTTATCAACCTATAGACTTTGGTGAACATAGTCAAAGCACCAAAACAATTGGTAAAGGTTTGTTTTCACAAGATATTTGAAGAATTTCAAAAATCAGACTTCAATTTTTCAGCATTTGGACCAAATGATGTCTTTGCTCTACGTCAAGAGGTGCGTCATTAAGAAAGAGCTGAGACTGATCTGAGAGCTGTGATGTAAACACTTGAGTATGACTTGAGTATCTTTAAGTATCCTCGCAGAATCCTTGGGTGCCGGCTCTAATCAAGCGGGTCTCGTCAGATGTGCAATGGACCCCCAGAGAAGCGTTAGCATCACAGCAGCTCAGCCCTGAACTAAACCAGGTTCGGACCGCTGTTGTTCACGCAGCTGTTTTCTGAGATGGGAGCGAAACATTCAGCAGTGATGTTCCTCAGAGAAGAGCGGTGCCTCTCATTGTCACGGCTCTTTGACCTCAGAGAGGAAGTTCAGGTGTTTTTATTTGAGGAGATGATGCATGAACTTGCAAACAAGTTTAGTGATGAGCTGTTTCTGATGAAACTGGCCTTCCTCTGAATGAAGCTGAATGAATGAATGAATGAATGAATGAATGCATTCACCTGAAAGCTCGAGACGTGGGGCAGACGACTTGATCAAGAAATACTGATTCCTTCCTGATTCCTGCTGGAGCCTCCACAGTGTCCATGTCTGAAGAAGCACGTCTCTTCCCTGAAAGGACTCTTTCACAGAGCTTCCCAAACAACAGGAGAGAGGCAGCATCAACCTGCGACCTGTTTAAAGACGTGCGGTGCACAATAGGCGGACTGCAGCCACTAAAGATAATGATAAGACCTAGGTTCTTACAAAGTGACTTGCCCAGTATCTGCATCTGTTCTTTTTTATTAGACGGATCTTTATTATGTTTGTAACGAAGTGCAGACTTAATTTCTTTCTTCTCTTTTGTTGACGAAGTGAAGACTGATGGAAGAATGTTGTGATGTCACAAAAAGTTTTTATTGCACCTTAGAATTTACTGACAGAAATGTGATGGTTGATCATGTGTTTCTTCTTTCAATACACAAGTTAAACTCAGTTTGTTGTCATGGTGTTGGGGTGGGGGCGGGGCATGACAGAAGCTTGAGAACCACTGCTCTAACTGTATAAACAGACGTCATGACAACAGTCAGGACTTTGATCTGTGATCAGCTGTTTGTTTCCCATCAGCCACCTGAGCACAGCGTCTCTGGAAACTCCCGACTCTCCGCTGTCATTTAAATGTTTCCTCAGCAGCCAATCAGAGCATGAGCTGCTGACGTGTCATCAGTCACCGAGCAGAGCTTGTTGTTGGTGAGCAGCAGTAGAGAGGAGGAGCTCAGACGCCCCCTGCTGGATCATCTTCATCATCCTCCTCATCCTCATCATTCAACTGCTTGTGTCAGCGTGGACAGTAACTGAGTACTTTTACTGCAGTACTTTTACTTCAGTGTATTTTACTTCAGTGTATTTTACTTCAGTGTATTTGTCAGTACTGACACTTAAAGACAAACATTGTTTTGACTCCATTACATTTCTTTGAAGGACTCTTACTTTGAAGCAGCTTTTAGTTGAAGGAATGACTTTTATTTTGAAAATGTGACAGCCCATAAACCAATCACAGCCGACTCCTATTCTGTCTGTGCAGCTGTTTTTGTTTTAAGGTAACCTTAGTTCAGACTTTAAAACCTGAACTTAAGGTGTGCAGCTGGTCCCAGGTGTGGACCAGGTCCAGGTCTCACCTGGAGCGGGTTCTCCTCCAACATGGTTCATGGTCATGTGATCAGACAGCAGCAGTAGTTTAACCTGATCTGTGATCAGCTGTTTGTTTCCCATCAGCCACCTGAATGCAGAGTCTCTGGAAACTCCCAACTTCACTGTCATTCAAATGTTTCCTCAGCAGCCAATCAGAGCATGAGCTGCTGACGTGTCATCAGTCACCGAGCAGAGCTTGTTGTTGGTGAGCAGCAGTAGAGAGGAGGAGCTCAGACGCCCCCTGCTGGATCATCTTCATCATCCTCCTCATCCTCATCATTCAACTGCTTGTGTCAGCGTGGACAGTAACTGAGTACTTTTACTGCAGTGTATTTCACTTCAGTACTTTTACTGCAGTACTTTTACTGCAGTGTATTTCACTTCAGTACTTTTACTGCAGTACTTTTACTTCAGTGTATTTTACTGCAGTACTTTTACGTCAGTGTATTTGTCAGTACTGACACTTAAAGACAAACATTGTTTTGACTCCATTACATTTCTTTGAAGGACTCTTACTTTGAAGCAGCTTTTAGTCAAAGGAACGACTTATTTTATTTTGAAAATGTGACAGCCCATAAACCAATCACAGCCGACTCCTCTTCTGTCTGTGTCAGTGAATGTGTGTGTATGTGCTTTACTCCATGAAGCTTCTCTGAGTCTCTGACCCTGAGAGGAGGGAAACTGAGGTCACCTGAACACTGAGTCAGTTACCATGGTAACGTAAATAATTAGTTTGTTAGGCTGCCCAACACCTGAACGAACATGACCTCATCATGATCAGTCAGTGAGAGGACAGACATCTCAACACTTCATCCTCAGGTCACATTAAAACCTGCCTGAGACTCTGAGACTCTGAGGACAGTGGGACAGCTCTTTACCTGCAGCAGGATGTAGGAACAGAAAGGTGACTCCGCCCCCTTGTGGCCGACTGTCATCATGTTTAACTGGATTCTTGTTTTTACAGATTCAGACACAAAGTATCAAAAACCTGTTTCATCAGTTTTAACGACACGATCTTCAGACAGGAACAAACCGTCACGTCCTGGTCAGACCTTCTTCATGGAGGCACAGTGATCTGTTCATCTGTTCCCGCTCTCTCTCTCTCTCAGGTTCATCCGCCTCATCGTCACGTCGCTCCACCTGTTTATTAACCGTGTGACACCAGGTGTAACTCGTCAGGCTGCTCCATGAAACTCAAACATTGATCCACCACACAGCGATGGAGGCGGTGACCTCAGTCCGTTACAAAGAAGAGAAGCAGATAAACATCCATCACTTCAGCTGCTCCAAGTCTTCTCCCTCATCAGGCTGGACGTGATGTCGCTGCTTCACGTTTCAGGTGTGTTTGACTCACCTGTGCGTCACAGCTGCTCATGAAGCATCCTGTTTACAGTCGAGATATTTCACTTTAGTATCTGGTGCTCAGAAACACTGAGGGACACTGAACGCATCCAGAGTCTCAGGTTAAAGATCAGGTGAGCTCGTGATCAGTTCTGTTGTTCAGAGCTGAGAATCACAACTTCATCATCATCACCTTCACTTTCCCCCGACAGACGAAACAAACGCACCCCGTTCTCACAGTAACATTATTTATTAAAATCTCAGAATTCACTCAGTCATTAACAAATAATTTAATGCAGTTTGTACAAAGCCAGAGAGTTGATTCCTCGTATGGACAGGCACGCAGAGAGAAACTACAGGCAGCGTCAGGTGGAAACCTCGTTCCTCCAACAGACTCTCAACCATCAAAACACTTTCATTTTTAAATAAGCAGCCAGAGACTGAGAGGAGACGGCGTCCGACTCCGCCGCCACGGAAAACACGCAACGTCCAGATGGAGACGAAGAACCGAAGAAAATCTACTGAAATGAGCAAAGTGAATCTTTCAAAACTAAACAACAAGAATAAAACATGAAATATAAAAGACCTTTAGTGTTTCCCCAGTAACAGTTAAAATATCTAAAAGTGGAGTTTCACCTCCGTTTTCACTTTTACCAAACTTTCCTTTTACAGGTTCATGCTCCACGTCTGCTGTGGATCCTGTTCTCCATCACTCACTGTTCAATCTGAGCCTTCTGATTGGCCGACAGCAGCTGATGACCGCTGATGCCATTCGTTTACATGTGGGCTGCTGGTTGCTACGGTAACCCCAGCATCACCCAGACAGGTTCTGACTCTCGCTGGTCGGGAACTTTGGAGAAAAAGTTACAGATGACATGATCCAGCACAGGGCGCTGTGGATTACAGTCGCAGCGGTAACCAGGAAGTGAGCGCCCCCTGCTGGACACACAGACATGGAGTGTGTCCTGCACAGATTCAGGTAGTGTTAGACAATAAGGCAGCACGGTGACGACTTACGAGACTCTTATTTTGAAATACCTGTGACCGATGCCTGAAATGTCTTTGCTCGTCTGAAGTTATGAATGAAATAAAAACGAAATAAAGTGACTGTCAACAAGGATGCGTTCAGGGTCCTCTGTCAGAGTCACACCTGGTACACCTGGTACAGGACGCACCTGATCACAGCTCGTTATAATGAGTGGCAGGTGAAGGTGTGTCACACAGGTGAGATGGATCATCCAACCAGAAACAACAAACAACAAAAACTATTTCTGAGACGATGCATTCAAGGTCATCACGTCTATTCCTCCGTCCGGTCTGTCTTCATCTGTGACGATGAGGTGGAGTGATGTTCACACACGCACGCACACACACACGCACACACACACACACACACACACACACACAGTTCAGGGGTCGACGAAGGACACCATGATGTATCTGGTCCCCCTGGTGGTGGGCAGACCCTCGTGGTAGTGGGTCAGCCGGCCGGGGTGCATGAAGGACCAGCCTTTCCTGGGAGACTCCACTTTGCAGTCGTAGCGCAGGAACCTGCAGCCTCCGCCCTGACACAGGTGCAGACACAAACAGGTAAGCTAACTGCGACAGGTGTTTCCAGCTGTTTCCAGCTCAGCAGATGTGCGTGTGTGTGTACCTCGTAGTCGATGCCCTTCCTGTTCAGGGCGATGTTGATGGTGAAGGTGGAGGAGTCGTGATGCGGCCGCAGAGATGGCTGCTCATCAGGACGGTAACGCACCACAAAGTTCATGATGGCCTGGGCCTACACACACACACCCACACACACACACACACACACACACACACACCCACACACACACACACACACACACACACACACCCACACACACACACACACACACACACACACACCCACACACACACACACACACACACACACACACCCACACACACACACACACACACACACACACACCCACACACACACACACACACACACACACACACCCACACACACACACACACACACACACACACACCCACACACACACACACACACACACACACACACCCACACACACACACACACACAGACAGACACACACACACAGACACACACACAGACTTATAGTGAGCGTGTATCATAAATACACAGTGGGCTCCAAAGTGTGAGACCACCTTCCTATTCAAGTGGAGGGGACAGTGCACGTGGCGCGAGTGCACACCTGGTGCACCTGTAGCCTCTTACCTTGGGGTAATATCCAGGATACAGCTTCTCAGTGACGGGGACGATGAACTCTTTCAGGAACTTCAGCCACTCCTTCTCAAAGCCGATCTGGTTCATGTGGATGTCCACAGTCGGGACGTTTTCATAACCACCGGCCAGACGCTCGTCCTGAACACACACACACACACACACACACACAGAGACACACACACACAGACACAGAGACACACACACACACACACAGAGACACACACACACACACACAGAGAGACACACACACACACACACACACACACACACACACACACACACACACACACACACACACACACGGGAACAGGTGAACAGGGGAACAGATGAACAGGTGAACAGGTGAAGGGTGAATAACAGGTGAAGAGGGGAACAGGTGAACAGGTGAACAGGTGAGCGGGTGAACAGGTGAAGGGTGAATAATAGGTGAACAGGTGAGAAGGTGAACAGATGAACAGGTGAACAGGTGAACAGATGAACAGGTGAACAGGTGATCAGGTGAACAGGGGAACAGATGAACAGGTGAACAGGTGAAGGGTGAATAACAGGTGAACAGGGGAACAGGTGAACAGGTGAACAGGTGAACAGGTGAACAGATGAACAGGTGAACAGGTGAACAGGAGAACAGGTGAACAGGTGAACAGGTTACCTTGTGTGATCCTCCAGACCATTCCCCGTGGTCCTCCATGGTCTCCACCATGTGATCACACATCTTCTCTGAGAAAGCTGGAAACCAGTAAACATCTGGACAGGGCTGGGAGACACACATCATTACTGAGCTGTCAGGTAAAACAGGGAGGATTGTGGGAATTATCGGGGGTGTGTTGTCACCTGCTCCACGAAGCTCTTCTCATCCTCAAAGATTCTGGAGTAGTTCTCGTGGATGTACTTCTCCTTCCAGTCCTGTGAACAGAGACACACTCAGCGTCTGGATCTCTTCCTCACCTGCTCATGTCAGTAACGCTCAGGTGTGTCGCCTCACCACAGGGTTGTCGAAGATCTGCCACATGTCCGGGTGCAGCCTGGACGTGTTGAAGCTGGTCGACGCCACCAGGCGACCAAACTCATCGCGGTTTGACACGAACATGAAGACACCCTGCACACACACACTGTTCATCACTTCCACTGTCCCAGGGTTTATTTCCTCAGGACGAACAAACATGACTGATAAAATAAACAAATACAATCACAGCCGTCAGGGATCAGAGGAGCTGCCGTCCCGCCTCCACGTTCTGTCACTCAAACTCCCAATAACTGCAGCTGATCACCTGTGATCACTTCCTGTCAGAGTAACATGATGCTCATCACTGCAGCACTGTGATACTGAAGGACATGTAAAAACAGCATGCTTCTCCCTGAGGTTCTCCCTGAGGTTCTGAACAACGTNTTCTGCCTGAGGTTCTCACTGAGGTTCTCCCTGAGGTTCTCCCTGAGGTTCTGAACAATGCTCTGGAGCTTTATTGTGGAGGGACGTCAGAGAGCTCCTCAGGAAGTGCAGTCACACTGACTCAGATCATGTTAGTCTGTGATCTGCCTCCTGCAGCTCAGTGTCGCCCCCTGTGGAGGCTTTTTATCACGACCCCTCCTTTCTCCTGTCCCTGTTTCTACGAGACCTCCTTTATTCTGAATATGATCAATCTTATATAAGATGTATAATATATCTGAAATATTAACAGGCTGAACAAAAAGCCACCAGTACATTATTATCACTAACAAGAAGCATGTGAGCAGGTGTTCAGCATGTTACCTGGTCTCTGATGCTCCTGCAGAACACCATGTCAGGGTCCGTCCCCTCGTCCACGTACAGGCTCACCTGGGACAGTTTGGACCGCAGCATGCTGCCTTTGATCAGGTAGGCCTGAGTGATGTAGGGCACGTTCCACAGACCGCTGCACACACACACACACACACACACACACAGTTACAGACTAAACCAGGGGAAGAATCCTCTCACTGCAGTGACACACAGTCAGCTTTAAAAACATATTCCAGCCTTTTAAACGACACGATTCACCACTAACGACCACAACGAGCCTTTCCTCTGCTCAGCTTCTTATTGTCTGAAGGAGCAGCAGCATCAGAGACGGGTCCTTCACAAGCTGCTCAGAGCTGTGGTCTGGTCTGCTGATGGCTGTCGAGAACAGACGTTTCACCAGCGTAAAATAAAACCACTTCATTATTTATTCTTTTAACTGGATAACAGCTTTAGGTGGAGGTGCTCCCCCCTCCTCCTCCACGTGTGTGTGTGTGTGTGTGTGTGTGTGTGTGCGTGTGTCTGTGTGTGTGTGTGTGTGTGTGTGTGTGTGTGTGTGTGTGTGTGTGTCTGTGTGTGTGTGTGTGTATGTGCTCACATCCTCTTGCCCTGGACGATCTCGATGTAGTCTTCAGATCTGGAGTAGTATCCTTCAGGACTCAGAGCGCCCCAGAAGTTACTCCACAGCTTCCCGTGTTTGGACAACATGGGAGCGATGACCGACCTGAGAGAGAGGCGGAGAGAGGAACTGAGAAACACCAGGCATCACCAAAACATCCATATCCACCCATCCAGCCAAAATATTAAAACTGGTTTCACTGAAACACTGTAAGGGGACTAGTGTGGACCTGGGTTAGGGTGTAGGGGATAAGAACACACAGGAGGGTACGTACTTGTTTTCCTCGATTAGTATCCTGAGTGTGTCGGGGTTCGTCAAGGCCACTTCAGAGTCGATGCTGAAGTAGTAATCACACTCTGGATCCTTCTTACATGCCTCACTGCACACAGACACACACACACACACACACACACACACACACACACATTACGATCTGAGTTCCAGCTGCAGCTCTGTGTTTGTGTTTCAGTGATATAAAGGTGGAAAAAGGGAAACACACATGGACCCGGAGCCTTTGATGTCTGATATTTTGAACCACACTGAGCCGAGTCAGCAACAGTCCAGGAAACAATCCAGCCATTTAATTGGTTCATTTTCTACAAACCTATAAATATCTAGAGTAATAGCTTCGATTATTTTCTCCTGCTTCATTTTCATCTGTGACTCTCTGCACGTTATTACATGACCGTTCTACAGGGTCTGAATGTTGTTCTGAAGGTAGTGCAATGCCTTCAGAGGTTCTCTTGGTTCTCCACTCACACAGCCATGGTTCTGGCCTTGCCCTCCTGCAGGTTCTCCTCTGGGCCGACCAGCAGGGCGTCGGGGAACAGAGACCTGTGACGCTCCCAGAACTTCTGGATGTGACGTTCGTGGTACACGACCTGGATCGGAGGAAAATCACGACAGGTCAGAACCGGTCAGAGGAGGTGTCTGTTCTGCAACCATGTGGTCGGCTCTGTGTCTGCGCCGTACGTTGTTGTGGATGAAGAGGCGGATCCTCGCCGTGGGGTAGTTGAGCGTGGTCAGTCGGTGCAGGAACTCGTCCATGAAGGGAGTTGCACGTTCGATAAACACTGCGACGTAGACCAGAGGCAGCTCCTCGTCCTGCGAACACAGCGGAAACATCCCGGTCAGACAGACACAAACCGCACACGGGCCATGACGTCAGAACCATCAGGTGAGTGTGTTTACAGGTACGTCGCTGAAGAACAGTAGGTCGTCGTCGCAGATCCCACATCCGTTCTCATAGGTCCAGGCTGTGGGGACGTAGTTACCCAGGTAATTCAACTGCAGCTGCAGAGACAGAACACCAGAACATCAGAACCTTTAGCTCATGCTAACACACACACACACACACACACACAGGTTCTGGTGATGGGAGGTTTACCTTGGTCGGTCCGTTGCCATGGATAACAACAGGAAGTGTGTCGTAGGCGACGTTCCTCGCTCTGACCTTTGACCTCTCAAACTTGAGGACGACTTCGTCTGACAGACAGAGACATTCAGTTCAGTCACGTTACAGAGAACAACCTGCTGACTGGTTCTGGTTCCACTGTTCGGACCGGTCCAGACTCCTGCAGCAGGACGAGTCCACACACACAGAGTCATAGAGACCCGTCCTCAGAGACCAGGAGAACCAGGAGTCCTGCAGCAGATGGTCTGGACCACAGAGACCTGATCCCAGCCTCATGGAGTCGGACTGGAACCACCTACCTGACCAGAACATGAGGAACTGGAACTGATTTAAAGGAAAAGTGGGGTCACAGCAAATCCTGGTCTGGTTCAGGTTTAAGTAAGACAAGTAAAAAACTGTCCATGGTTTTATTTTGAAAGAATCCTAAATCTTTCCTGTTAGAAACAAACAGGATGCGACTTTCTGTTTATTTCATACGTAAAAATATTTCAACAACCATGGCGACGAGAAGTTTCTATGTTTTTATCTGAAATACATTTTAGACCGAAACATATTTGACCTTTTTAACAACTTTATTTATTCCAGTTATTATTTATTCTATTTAGTGACTGTTGCACTTTGTTTTATTTTGTCTCTCAGCTGTTTTTATGTGTCAAAGGAAAACACAGTTTAAACACAGTGAGCACGTCACTCTCTTCATATATTATCAGTGTGTGTGTGTGTGTGTGTGTGTGTGTGTGTGTGTGTGTGTGTGTGTGTGTGTTTGTGTGTGTGTGTGTGTGTATTCGTGCATGTCTCTGTGTGTGTGTGTGTGTGTTTGTGCGTGTGTGTGTGTGTGTGTGTCTCACCAACAGCTCCGTTCAGATTCTGGAAGATCCTGGACCGATGATCCAGGGTCATGTTGAACTTGGTCTGAGGAGACAAACATGACATCACCCTCCAACGAAGAGAGAGAGTGTGTGTGCATGTCTCTGCGTGTGTGTGTGTGTGTGTGTGTCTCTGTGTGTGTGTGTCTCTCTGCATGTGTGTGTGTGCGTGCGTGCGTCTGTGTGCGCGTGTGTGTGTTCATGTGTGTGTGAGTGTGTGCGTGTGTGTGTGTCTCTGCGTGTGTGTGTGTCTGTCTCTGCATGTGTGTCTCTATGTGTGTGTGTGCGTGTGTGTGTGTCTCTGTGTGTGCATGTCTCTGTGTGTGTCTGTGTGTGTGTGTGTGTGTGTGTGTCTCTGCGTGTGTGTGTGTCTGTCTCTGCATGTGTGTCTCTATGTGTGTGTGTGCGTGTGTGTGTGTCTCTGCGTGTGTGTGTGTCTGTCTCTGCATGTGTGTCTCTATGTGTGTGTGTGCGTGTGTGTGTGTCTCTGCGTGTGTGTGTGTCTGTCTCTGCATGTGTGTCTCTATGTGTGTGTGTGCGTGTGTGTGTGTCTCTGCGTGTGTGTGTGTCTGTCTCTGCATGTGTGTCTCTATGTGTGTGTGTGCGTGTGTGTGTGTCTCTGTGTGTGCATGTCTCTGTGTGTCTCTGTGTGTGTGTGTGTGTGTGTGTCTCTGTGTGTGTGTGTGTGTGTGTCTCTCTGTCTGTGTGTGTGTGTGTGTGCGTGTGTGTGTGTCTCCAACGAAGAGAGAGAGTGTGTGTGCGTGTGTGTGCATGTCTCTGTGTGTGTGTGTGTGTGTGTGTGTGTGTTTCTCTGCGTGCGTGTGTGTGTGTCTCTCTGTGTGTGTGTGTGTGTGTGTGTGTGTGTTTCTCTGCGTGCGTGTGTGTGTGTCTCTCTGTGTGTGTGTGTGTGTGTGTGTGTGTGTTTCTCTGCGTGCGTGTGTGTGTGTCTCTCTGTGTGTGTGTGTGTGTGTGTGTGTGTGTTTCTCTGCGTGCGTGTGTGTGTGTCTCTCTGTGTGTGTGTGTGTGTGTGTGTGTGTGTTTCTCTGCGTGCGTGTGTGTGTGTCTCTCTGTGTGTGTGTGTGTGTGTGTGTGTGTGTTTCTCTGCGTGCGTGTGTGTGTGTCTCTCTGTGTGTGTGTGTGTGTGTGTGTGTGTGTTTCTCTGCGTGCGTGTGTGTGTGTCTCTCTGTGTGTGTGTGTGTGTGTGTGTGTGTGTTTCTCTGCGTGCGTGTGTGTGTGTCTCTCTGTGTGTGTGTGTGTGTGTGTGTGTGTGTTTCTCTGCGTGCGTGTGTGTGTGTCTCTCTGTGTGTGTGTGTGTGTGTGTGTGTGTGTTTCTCTGCGTGCGTGTGTGTGTGTCTCTCTGTGTGTGTGTGTGTGTGTGTGTGTGTGTTTCTCTGCGTGCGTGTGTGTGTGTCTCTCTGTGTGTGTGTGTGTGTGTGTGTGTGTGTTTCTCTGCGTGCGTGTGTGTGTGTCTCTCTGTGTGTGTGTGTGTGTGTGTGTGTGTGTTTCTCTGCGTGCGTGTGTGTGTGTCTCTCTGTGTGTGTGTGTGTGTGTGTGTGTGTGTTTCTCTGCGTGCGTGTGTGTGTGTCTCTCTGTGTGTGTGTGTGTGTGTGTGTGTGTGTTTCTCTGCGTGCGTGTGTGTGTGTCTCTCTGTGTGTGTGTGTGTGTGTGTGTGTGTGTTTCTCTGCGTGCGTGTGTGTGTGTCTCTCTGTGTGTGTGTGTGTGTGTGTGTGTGTGTTTCTCTGCGTGCGTGTGTGTGTGTCTCTCTGTGTGTGTGTGTGTGTGTGTGTGTGTGTTTCTCTGCGTGCGTGTGTGTGTGTCTCTCTGTGTGTGTGTGTGTGTGTGTGTGTGTGTTTCTCTGCGTGCGTGTGTGTGTGTCTCTCTGTGTGTGTGTGTGTGTGTGTGTGTGTGTTTCTCTGCGTGCGTGTGTGTGTGTCTCTCTGTGTGTGTGTGTGTGTGTGTGTGTGTGTTTCTCTGCGTGCGTGTGTGTGTGTCTCTCTGTGTGTGTGTGTGTGCGTGCGTCCGTCTGTGTGCGCGAGTGTGTGTTCATGTGTGTGTGCGTGTGTGTGTGTGCGTGTGTGTGTGTCTCTCTGCATGTGTGTGTGTGCGTGCGTCCGTCTGTGTGCGCGTGTGTGTGTTCATGTGTGTGTGCGTGTGTGTGTGTGTGCGTGCGTGCGTCTGTGTGCGCGTGTGTGTGTTCGTGTGTGTGTGTGTGTCTCTCTGCATGTGTGTGTGTGTGGTACCCTCTGTGTCTTGTCCAGGTAGATCCTGGTGTAGAACAGCTGGTCGTCGTCGTTGTCCTTGTACTTCCACTGCTGGACGATGGTGCTGAGGTCGGCGGCGAAGCCGATGAAGCCTGAACACAAACAGAGTTTCTCACTTCATCTCCTCGCTCTACTTCACATTGCCTGTGTTCACCGGGGGGGGGGGTTCTCACCTCCTGAGTTGAGGTAGCGTTTCCCAGAATGCACCACTGGGTACTTGGAGGCCAGCCTCTGGTCGGGCCAGCAGAACCCCTCGGCTGAAAAGACCACTCTGTGACCCAGACGGGAAAACTTGGACAGCAGCTCCTCTGGACCCGACGCAAAGATCACGTCGTAACTGCACAGAGACACAGGTGAGGGGTCAGAGGTCACAGCTGTCTGAGGCCCGACGTGTTCGTCAGGTCACGTGTGACTTTCATAAACGCAACGATCATTAATCTGCAGAATAAGAGAGAAAATAACGTGTAGCTGCAGCTGGAGAAAGTTTGATTTGGTTTGTTGGAGGATAAATCTGCAGCCGGAGGTTTCGATGACTCTTCTGTGACGGCCGCCGTCGCCACAAACAGGAAGTGAGGTCTGTCATCAGCCCCACCTCAGTGACATCAGCAGGGTAATAACAGGCTGCAGCAGGAGGCAGAGGTTTTCATTAAGACCTAAATCAGGAGACACAGGGGTCTGCTGCTGCTGCTGCTCCTCCTCCTGCTCCTGCTCCTCCTCCTGCTGCTGCTCCTGCTGNTGACGGCCGCCGTCGCCACAAACAGGAAGTGAGGTCTGTCATCAGCCCCACCTCAGTGACATCAGCAGGGTAATAACAGGCTGCAGCAGGAGGCAGAGGTTTTCATTAAGACCTAAATCAGGAGACACAGGGGTCTGCTGCTGCTCCTCTTGCTGCTCCTCCTGCTCCTGCTCCTGCTCTTTATTCCTTTGTGTTTGAGCTTATGACTCTGGTCTGAAAGATTTTATCCGGGTTTTATATTTTGTTCACTGTGTGAAAGGTCGATGCTCATTATTGATGAGTCCTCACCTTTATTTCTAATGAATCACTGTATGGTTATGGTTTCCTGCAGACAGGTGACGTCTTCAGGTGTCAGAGATTCACTTTCACATTTTGTTTCATAAATGACTGAAACATTAAATCAAAGTCCAACGTCTTTATTTGCCCCTCTCATCGATCGCAGCTGCGTTTCTTTTCTGAAAGTTAAAGACGCATCCTCCAAGTCCTGCTCTGTCTGTCTCCTGTGGCAGGACTGGCGACACATCGTCTTTACCTTTTGTTTCCAGTGTAGAAAGAATTCACAGGAAGGTTCATCAGTGAGTAACTGAGGATGAAACCAGAGTCCAGTGTATCTGTTGCCTCCAGCAGCTTCAGACAGAAACAGGCCAGTGAAACATGATGAGCCTGAGAGTGAACTGAGCTCTTGGAGTCATTAATACATGAACTCTAAAGGTGAGACGCAGGTGATGTTGCTGCTGGTTGGGTGGACGATATTCAAGGCGTCGGGGTTGTAGAAGAGAATCCAGAAGCCGGCTGAATACGTTCCTGTGAACCTGCGTCGCACGCTGGTCAGTAAATGTTTGGTGGTGGAGACTGCATCTCGCCTGTGATCAGAATGAAGCTTCCCTCTTCATGTGTGAATGATTACCTCCCCACACCTTCACCACAGACCTGGAGTGATAAACTTGACCGATCCACCCGGCTCTAATCTGACCACCTGCCCTCACACCTGCCCTGGACTCCTTCAGGTCCTTTCACTGGCTCGTTCATTCTGGCTCCTCCTGCTGCTGCGTCTCCTCATATTACCTGTTTCAGGACACTTTCTGTTGCTGCGTGACCCTGACCTTCGTCTGACAGACACTGACACTGGATACCAGTGGATATCATCATGTGGCTGTAGCTCAGTGACCACACCTGGGTCCTGGTGTGTGTAAGCCACAGGTGAGTCAGGTTTCACACTGACGACAGAAAAACAAGAGTGACAAAGAGAATAAAAGAGACGAGAGACAAAAGAGGAGGAGGTGAAAGAAACGAGGCGAGAGAGAGACACACACACACACACACACACACACACACAGGTGGTCCTTACCTGTCCACGAACATGATGACCATGTCCTTGTTGTCAGAGTGTTTGAGCAGCTCCTTCTTCAACCATCTCACCTTCTGACCTCCCCCCACCGTCCGAGCCACGTCACCCCCCTTCCACTCCTCCCCCAGACCCAGCACCTGCGCACACGCACACGCACACGCACACGCACACACACACACACACACACACACACCAGCAGCACAGTCTGTGTATCAGGTTATCTCTGTCTCATTACATGAAACAAACACAGAAACATTGTGATCAACAACCTGCACAAACATCTATTGATCCATCAGCTGGTGATTTTCTTCACTGATGGATCAATAAATTGATCTATCGGTCTATAGATGGTTTAAACTGTCTTCACTGAGTGGTGCCGACGTTCACTGAAACATCTGAGGGAACATGGCAGATGATGTAGATACTCATTTCCCATCAGCCCCTTCACCATTCACATTTAGACATTGACGCGTGTGTGTGTGTGTGTGTGTGTGTGTGTGTGTGTGTGTGTGTGTGTTACCTTCACAGTGTAGTTGAACTCTCTGATCGTCCTCATGAAGCGGTTGAAGCCGTCCGTCTCCTCAGTTGCCGCGGTGATCACCAGCAGATTTTCTACAAACACAAACAGATCAGTGATCAGCGATGACGTCATCAATTATCAGGCATATCGATTATCGATCATCTGTAATGAATAAAGCCAAGCCTGTGTTTGTAAATCAGAACCGCTGCTCATGTTTTGGTTCTGAACCTTCTCCATATGAATTCATCGTTTTTATCCGTCCTGCGTCCGACTCACATGAATCAGCTGATTAAAAATGACTGACAGGACCAGAGTCTCGTCAGGTCAAACAGTTCTGTTTATTTATTCATGAATCAATATATTTATCTGTTTATTTATTGGTTCTTTGCATAACAAGAACAAGTGTGACACAAACGGGTCACATGACGGACAGACATGTAAATGAACAGCACAAATATCATGCTGTAATAAAATATATATATA